CCGGCCATGCGGGTGACGCCGTGCCAGGCCGCCCTGGCCGCGGCCATCGCCCTCAACCTGCTGCTCCTCTACTGCGCCCGGCGCGGCCTCCCCTCCCGCCCCTCGGCGGCGTCGCCCCCGCCGTGCCGGCCCCCGCGCGGCGCCCGCGGCGTCACCGTCGTGCTGCGGGACTTCGAGGACTTCGACAACGACCTGGCGGGCACGGCCCGCTCCTTCGCGGCGCTGCCCGTGCCGGTGCTGGTGGCGGCCGAGGCGCCGCCGTACCCGCCGGTGCCGCTGCCCGCGGGGGCCGCGCTGCTGCCGCTGCGCCCGCGGCCCGACCGGGCCCCGCCGCCGCGCCCGGAGCTGGCGGTGCGCACGCGGCACGTGGCGCTGGTGCCCGACGGCGCCCGCGCCGCGCCGGGGCTGCTGGAGCGCATGAGGGACGCGCTGGAGGACGGGGACGGCGGCGGCGCCCGCGTGGTGGCGGCGCCGGTGGGCCCGCGGGCGCCGCGCTGCCTGGCGCTGAGCGTGGACCTGCGGGCGTGGACGGCGCGCTACGGCCCCGCCGGTAACGGCAACGGCAGCGCCGCGGGGGACTGCCTGGCGCTGGAGGGGGCCCCCGCCGTGCTCCTGCTGCGCACCCGCGACCTGTTCGCGCTGCCCTTCCCGCTGGCGCGCCCGGTGCCTGCCGCGCTGGCCCTGCAGGCCGCCCTGCGCGGGTGGCGGCTGCGCCTGCTGCCCGACGCCTTCCCGGCCGCCCGCCGCCCCCCGGCGTCCCCCCACGGGCGCTGGAAGGCCGAGGGCCTGGCGGAGGCGCGGCGGCGGCGGCTGCTGCGCGACGTGGGGGTGAAGCTGGAGGTGCTGGCGGACGGGCGGGAGCGCTGGCACGGCTGCGCCAAGGACACGCCGCGCTGCTTCGGCACCGTGCACGCCCGCACGCCGCAGTACCTGCTGGCCGGGCGCTGGACCCCGCCCTGCTGCCTGCGGGCGCTGCGCGAGACCGCCCGGCACGTGGCCCGCGAGCTGGAGGCGGCCGGCGTGCGGTACTGGCTGGAGGGGGGGTCCCTGCTGGGCGCCGCCCGCCTCGGGGACATCATCCCCTGGGACTACGACGTGGACCTGGGCATCTACCGCGAGGACGCCGGCAAGTGCCGCTGGCTGGCGGCCGTGGCGGCCGAGGGGCGGCCGGTGGAGGACGCCGAGGGCTTCGTGTGGGAGAAGGCGGCCGAGGGCGAGTTCTACCGCGTGCACTACAGCCGCAGCAACCGCCTGCACGTGGACCTGTGGCCCTTCTACGCCCGCGGCGGGGTGATGACCAAGGACACGTGGCTGGGCCACCCGCAGGACGTGGAGTTCCCCGAGAGCTTCCTGCGGCCCCTCGTGCCCGTGGCCTTCGCCGGCTTCACGGCCATGGCGCCCAACAACGCCCGCGCCTTCCTCGAGCTCAAGTTCGGGCCCGGCGCCATCGAGAACCCCGAGTACCCCAACCCCGCCGTGAAGCGGCTCGAGAGGGACTGAGGGGCACGGGGGGG